AGCACCGTAAATACAAACTACACCCTCAGATGGGTACATGTGTGTGTGGGTGTGAGTGTGCGTTGAAGTTGGCGGAAACGATTTAAGTAAATGAGTGGCTTCCGGACCTCTTTATGTGTTCGCTCAACACACTGTCTATTTGTGGTGAATATACTTGCATGTCGTTTCATATGGGTCCGCAACAGAATGAGTTCCATGTTTTATTTTTTTTTTGTCGGAAGCAAGGACACTGAAGTTAATTCCAGGCTTTGTTATTTATTCAACGTTTTTTGCTTTGCATTTTTTATGAATTAATTTTACAAAAATGTCGTTGCCATGCATGTGGCAGTTCAGATTTGAAAATGAGAGAGTTGCACATCTCGTCTGTTGTCAAAAGAATTTTAGGGAATAGCAAAAAAGTGTTTATTCAATTTCATTTGTTTAAATGCATTCGTTATTTTAAAACCATTTTCTCTACAATTGGATGTGTGTATTCTAAAAATGTAAGGTATTTAAACTTGAAGGAACACGTGTCCAACATTTCCTGTGTTCCAGTTTAGGATTAACCTAAAAATATTTACACATTTTGCAGAAGAAATTATGAACGTATCTTCGGTGGAATTCATTGGCCTTAAAATAATAAATTGAATATTTGGAGCTGTTCAAAGTCGAAAGCTATATTTTGTTAAAATTTAGTAAAAAAAAAATGTTGATTGTCTTAGTGATTTAAATTAAATAAAAGTAGAGCCTTCCCAAAAAAGATCTACTTCTCGAAAAAGAGATTTAAAGTGTTGAGTACAATTATGGGGCAGAAATGAGAAGAATTAATCTATATATATAAATGTAAGTTGTGTTAGTTACTACGCTTATAACTTAAGAACCGCTGGATTAATTTTAACGATTCACACAAATTCGGAGTTGTCTACTCTCCGAAAAGGATAATATCCAAAAAAATCGCGTAAAAATGTGATATATTAACATTTTCATTTTGACTTTTCAAATGTACAATAGTAATGTTTTATTTTGCATGATTTTTTTCCATTTTGACTTACTTTTTTCTAATGTACATTTGTAGTGTTTTTTTATATTTTATTTTTGAATTCGAATATTTATACCAATTTATTTAATTGACTTGATTTCTTGAGAACTGAAATTGATGGCGGGTTACATGGAAGTGTAGTAGCGAATTATGTGGTGGCGAAACGGAATAGATGATATCGAAATAATTTAACGCGGTCACACCAAAGTTAAAAGATAATTACTTTTTCTAAATCGCTGAAAAATCATGAAAAAGAGATCTCATTGCAAAAATCAAAAAAACATTTTCAATGGAATCGAATTCTAAAATAATAGTACATTCTATTGGCAAACTTTGTAAGGAAGGATCTTAAAACATTTGCTGTAAAAAATCAGCGAAAAAGTTGAAGACTTTTTCAATTTGTTATTCTTTTTTTTGTCAATTTTTTTTTCAATTTGTATTATCATATTGAATTCAGTGGATTTTTTGTGAACAAAATAAAGAATAATTTTTCACTAAAAAATTAAATAAGTGCGAAATAGGATGTTAACTGGCATCTACCTTTCAACTCCAGGGCCTACATCGTGGGTTAGCTGGAAGATGCGAACACATTTAAACAAACAAAAATGACCGAAAAAGCTTAATGGGGCTCATTTCAAAGCGTGACAATGATCCGTCCAATGAGAGCTCAAAATGCAAAATTCTTTGGGAGAATAATAAGTAATATACCAATATTGAAATAAAAGGTGCAAAATAGTAGAGCGAATGGGACTTTTAGTAAGAAAAGGTTTTATATCCTTCCAGAAATTCGTCCCAAACATTCAAAATACCTAAAATCACTTTTGCAGGTCTTGATATCGATCATAACTCACGGATAAGGGAACAACCCGATTTCATATTTATATAACCATCTATGATTTAAGTTATTTTTGGGGTCTTGGCCGGCCACTTTTTTCATTTTTTGGCCCTTATTTGACATTTTTGTTTCTAAGGGGGTAGATAACCTCTTCACATAAAATTTGAAATTTTCAGAGTAGGGTCCATATTGGTATTGACCACATTCATCAATTGATTTGGCTAAAAAATTTTATTTATGCCACCCTGGGGTAGGGAACCATCATACAGATAATTGCCACATAGGAATTTATTTAAGTAAAGTCCCCACATTGGAGTATCCCCAAGTCCACTTTCACATCTAATGTGTGGTCAGAAAAGAAAATTTTGTATTCTATTGAATTTTTAACCCCCAAGAGAATATTGGTTGGGAACGTAGATTTGGGATGTGCATCCATATGAAATAAATTGTGGAAACATGAACAAATTACAAATATAAGAAAGTAGCACGGGACCGAATATTTGTTTAATCATCATTGAATTATCCTATGATGAAAATATGGACTTTATGCCATGTTTACGTTAGAACTTTTTGTAGGGTTAACCTACTTTGAGAGGATTTATTTGAAGTAAAAGTAATGGAAGGTACCTCCTAATTTAACCACATTTCAAAGAATTTGGCTAATAATGCGTATTAGGGGGGTGAAAATCTTACACTAAAATTTCAACATATCTACAAATTTTAGAATTTTTATCCATGTTATAATACCCTCTCAAGTCCACCTTTTGGCGGACAAACAGACTGACATGGTTAGGGGGACTTATGAGGACTCTAATGCACAATCTAAGTTGCTAATGGGTTTAAAAAAGTAATTAACTTTGGCTATTCTTAAATCATTCAGCCCTCAATTATGTAGTATACAAAATACAGCAAATTCCAAATTACTGCTCATTTGACTGGAAGATTTTGCTACGATTTTTACCATATTAAAAATTAATTTGATCCCTTATATGGCGATAAGATTGATATATATTTTTAATAGATTTTTATAGCACATCCACACAGTTGAAGCCCACGGTTTAAATATTGAAGCCCACTGGTTAAAAATGGGTACAGGTATTTTAAAACACTTTAAATCGACATGTACGTGAACACTTATATCAGTCATATCTGTGAATAATTATGCTTGGGAATATATGCATAATAGACAAAAACTACGGGCCGGCAACGCGGACCGGGCCAGCTAGTATTTTTATATAACAAGATAAAAAGTATCAATTTGTTTATTTTAATGTATTTTGATTTGTGTTATCATTATTAAAAATGTTGCCAATGTTGTAAATTTCGAATCTGACCTAAGCCTGCATTAATTTTACATGTGATAATTTGAGATCATTTTTGGAAAATGTTGAAATGTGCATGAGGTAGCGAAGTATTCCGCTTCTTCTAATAATGAAAAAAAAATGGAGTGGGCAAAATGTAAAGAAAAACTAAAATATATTTCCAATTTTATGCGAATAATTATTAATGAACATTTTATTCTTTTGTTAGGGAGTTATGTGGCGAAGTTGACTGATCAATTCCATATTCACATCAATGTAAATGCATTAAAACGCGAATATGCCAGTCGTTGAGTAATTAAGCCACATGTAAATTGACATCTAAATCCATGGAAATTACAAAATTTATTCAATAGATTATCACTTTTGAAAAATTGTAAATTCCGCGAAAAGTTGTACATTATCATTCTCAATATGGTTTCCCAAAAATAATGTTCAACTGTTTTACTTTCAATATGGGTTTTATTGGGCTTTTATGGTCAAGTTAATCAAATGACAATAAACGAATTTATTTCATATTTTGCTCAACGTTTCGTTGGCTTGTTTCCAACTTTTTCAAGAGCGTTTTTTATTGAATTCTGTTTATAAATGAGAAACATATTTCATTATTAGAATTTTGTTTTGTGACATATTGCACTTTAAATTTAACTTACATCAATAATTATGCATTATTTATTTCTTATTAATATTAATAAAACGGGACTCCACAACATTTAATTAATATAAAGTAAAAATAAATAATCAATAAAATAAGAATCACAGTTAAACTTAAGCTAAATCACAGAACCGTTTCTAAATAATCGCAATAGAATACTGTAGTTTAGTATTATCTTTGTCTTCTTTGGTATTTATTGATCTGGCAATCCTTTGCTGTATTCGTAGGCTTTCCAATGTATATCTTTTGTCCTCTTTATTTTCCCTATCTAAAATTTTGACATTTGTTAGATCAGCTGTGTGGCCACTCTCCGTTGTGTGTTGTGACAGTGCTGTTTTTGCTAATCCTTTATTGATATCATTTTGATGTTCTCCTATTCTTACACCAAGCATTCTTTTTGTTGTGCCCACATAAACTTTCCCGCATTTCTCTTTCTCATTGCCTTTGCATGTAATTTCATATACAACGTTGTGTTGTTTTTGTTTGTCTTCTTTTGTTTTTGTGCGTTTGAAAATCTCTTGCATTGTTTGATTGGATTTGTGTGCTATCATTGTTGTTGTATTTTTAATTATTTGTTTGACATTTCACTAAAGTTGTTGCCCCACACTTAAACATGGAAAACACTGGCGGTGTGTTCGCGAGTAGCACCAAAGACCTTGTGTATTTTGCATACCAACACGTTCAGCTTATGAGAATGCCAACAGACATGTTTTAAACACTTTAAGAGCCTCTTGGTGTCTTTGTGCGGGCACTTTTCACTGATATTCATGGCATAACGCCCCCTCATCCTCGTCCTCCCTTCCCCTCCTTGATATACCGATGATACCTAGGAATGCTTGAAGTGCCTGTGCGTGTTCATGATTTATAAGCTTACGATGCAATACTCCGGCACCAGTAGCATCACGTCAATCTACTATTCCCGGACGACATGTTCGGCCAGATATTTGTGTTTGTTTGGCCGTTTCGTTGCTAAAGTGAGCCAAACATCGCCTAAAGTGGATTCAGTGCTACTAAATATATTACGGATGCGCAGGAGCGCATTTTCAGGTATGGGTGGAGCACATCATTGGAATGTGCTACTGGTTGGTGTGCATGTCAGTGTATTGTGTGTGTATGTAGTATGGGTGGTGAAAAAACATAGATACCATGAAATGATGTTACGGCAAAACTTACATCGACATTGATGCCAGACACCGGAAAGACCAGTGTCGGAGGTGACTCTTTTGGCACGTAGCGATAGAATTCCTCGGTACCGAAATACCAACGCACCGAATATAACGCCGCCTGCAAAGAAAGAGAGAGAAAACACAAACACTCATTATTACACCGATAGATGGCTAGATATGGAAGAAAAATGAAGATGAACAACATCAGTTTTAGAAACAATTTCACTTGCAATTAATTTAATTAGGAATCTTTTTTTTGTTCCACATTTTCTTGCTCCAAAGTAATATTTTGTACGAGAAGGGGCGCAATGTAAAATATTATGGTATTTTTGAATGACAATTTTTTGTAAGTTGAACATACTTTGAATTAAAAAAATATATATATATATTAAATAATAAATAAGTGAAGAAAATAAAAACGATAATTTAAAATTACTTTTTTCTAACGTAAATCATTTTTGACTGACTGACTTTCTCAATTTAGTTGAATATTGAAATTAGTGCATGAGAATATCGAATGAACTTCCATCCTCAGTGGAAATTATGTATTTAATTTTTAGAGCTAGATCCACATACATGTATTCAAGCCACTGAGGAAATTAATATTGTATTGGGCTATGCATGATCCTGAACAAATACATTTTTTGAGAGATCATGTAATTCGATTTCAATTAAATGTAATGAAGTTTTCATACTACCGTCATCTAGCTATGTGTTAATTTCTTATCACGATATTTATGGCCCAATCCTCACGAAATTTAGCATGGGGTGGAGTTGGGGTCAGAGTAGAAACCTATTGTTTTTGGAGATAATCTCAAAGTATGTATGGTTTGAAATGGGCCAAAAAGAGTAAATTGTCTCATGTTGTAATATCTTTTATCTTTAAACACCGTGTTGGGGGTATTATATACATGTCGCAAATATCATCCGACCCTGCCGAAATTTTGCACGGGTGTAGGATTAGTGACAGAATCCTATTGTTATTGAAGATGTATATTTAGGAGTTCAAATTTATAAAAAATCGAATATTTTTCCTGATTTTACAGGTGCTCTACTGGTCACAATTAAAAACCAATGTACATGGATTTTTTAATAGGGTTAGATTTTATGGCAGACGCCAAGAATTTTGGAAAGCAATTGCATTATATTTAGCGGATAAAATGAACCACAACTTTTCTGTGAAATTGTTTTGAAGACCTATCAACTCAACGGAGAAGGTATATATGGGGCAAATGCCCCCTCAAAAACAAAAGGTAACATTTGTGCGACTAGAATGAGTTTGGACCTAAGGATTTTTTTTCAATATATTATAGTGCTCACAACTAAAGCTTTCGCATACTTGTTTTTATAGTAACATATAAAATTTAATTTGTGGAAATTAAATGCATTTTCTATGCGGAAATAGGGAAATATTAAAGTTCAGGTCTTAAAATATATAATCAATAGAAGCCGAAATAGATAGTGAAAAGTTCACCTGTGGCATTGATCTTTTTAACTAAATTTTTATTTGACATGAAAAATTGAAGCAAGTACAATTAGGATTTTTTTTTAAGTATTATATTCCTGTTTATAATCTCCACTACTCAATGGACTTTTCTTTGTTCAAGCAAAAAACTGTTTTCAACAATTAATAGGAATCATACTTTTAAACGCTTTAAATTTCTTGTAATTTAATATTATTAGGTTTCTTAAGCTCATATTAAATTCCACATATAGTTAAAATGTCCAGTTTAAAATATATAAATCAAAGGATAGAGGAAATATTCCTTTCTATATAACTAATCACAAATAGCCTACTCTCATTTAACATAGCATTTACTAAAAACTATAGATAGTTTAATTCCTATCATGCCAAATTTTCAGAATTCACCTTTTTAAATCTTGCAACATTGTTTTAAGACGGAACGTGAAACATAAAACTAAGGTGGCTGGCAGTCAGCGCATTGGGCTCAGGGCCAACTTTTCTTTGATAGTCAACTTCCCTGGCATTAATTTCTTGTCGTTTGTGTTGCTGTTTTTGTTGTTGTTAGTTTCGATACCACCGATGTCTTGAGTCAAATATTTAATAAAGTTCTTTGCAAGTAGAAATTGTATTTAACAGGCATGTTCTACACGCTCGCTGGCAGAGTGAGCAGTGGATGGTTGGACTACACACTTACCTGTTCCAGGTCGTACTGACACGACAGCGTCGCTGCATTGCCCATAATAACAGCATCTGGTACGAATATTTTTAAATCTTTCAGACAATCAACTGCAAAATAAATAGAATGACACCAGATTAAATTTATGGCAGATATGAAAGTATGGCTGACATATTTTATTAAAAACACTTCTAGGAATTTGCAATGTTTGTAGGAAAAAATATATTAGAGATTAATCTCAACTGTTGACAATTTTTGAGAAAAAAATCAAATAATTGCAGTTTATTTAAAAAAGTTATTTTTGGGAACCCTCTGAAATGTTAAGTGTCTCTTTAAATTTTTTAAAATGTATGTTGCTTCACAAATCGCAATAAATGTGAAATATATTTTTCTTCCAATTTCAATTGGTAATGATTAACACTTCTTTTGTTTAGATGCCTTTTTATTAACAAAGACTATAAAGAACCACTGACGTATAATTAATTTTATTTCTGTTATTGTGTAACTCATACGCTCCCACATGATAGGTGTGCTTTTTGATTCAATTTCACTCGGGCACAAACATGGCCACAATTTAAAATCGCGGAATAAAAAAATGAAATAAAAATGATAATCTCCCACTCGCTGTTACATGATAAATTAAATGTGAATTCATTAAAGCGTTTAATTATTTAATCGTAAACGTTAATGAATGACGCGCAAATTGACAAATTTCATTATTGCTTGGCATTGTGTAATGTTACAGCTCTCTCTCTCCCAATTGGCATTGTCATAAGAGCAGACAGATAATAATGCACACTCATGATGGTGGACGGATGGAGATGGAGGTAACAGCTCCAAACATATGTTGTGGATGACATAAGTAAGCTGACAAATACCGGATTAATGATGTAACATTAAACGGGGCGAGAGACACGCACATACACACCAAAAGAAATGGTCGAATTAATTGCGATAAAAATGATGGACTATTGACAAAAAATAAATTAAATTATTATAACTAAATACAAATTAGGTATTTCTAACTGAAAATGCAAATCAATTTATGCAAAGATATAAAACTATGAAAACTTGACAAAATGCATTCAAATTGTATTTTTGGTTGTTGCCAAATTGTCAGGCTCCATCCCATTATTGTTTTTTTTTTTTTTTTTTTTATAAAAATTACGTTTGTTTATTAGTGGAAATGTTTACCAGGGGTTAAGGTAGACTGTAGAAGTATGTTAAGTTTTCAAAACACTTTTGTCACCGTATAGCATTTTTATAAAAAAAAAAGAAAAAGTGGAACTAAATTTTCATTGCATAAATGTTTTAATCTTTTTTTGAACACTTTATAAATCGAAATTTTTAAATGATATTTAAATAGTGAATTAAATGTGAAAGTGAATTAAAAGTGAATTTCCCATTTGACACGAATATTTCTTGAGTGTAGACCTGCCAATAGGCTAGATAAAGCGTCATTGAAGGCAGTCCTCACATGTCACACTAGACACATGGCGTACGTAAATTTCACGACTGCGTTTGACACCTCATTAACAAACGTAAATTTATCAAAATTGCGATAAGTGTTGGATGTATTGAAAATAAAGTAGTCATTTACCAAACAATTGACTTGACTGACGCACGCATGTACATCGACATTTTTGATACACTCTCCTACCACCGATTCTAGAGTGATTCTTATCAGAGGATTTTCCATTTCCAGGCATTTACATGTGTTGGTGTCTCCACAAACATTATAGCACAATTATAAAAAAAAAAACCGGAAGTTTTAATCCAAACATCCCAAATAAAAGCATTAAAAACAATTAATAAAAGAGCTGTAAAATAATATTTATTTCACCTTAAATTATATTTATTTACCAAGTGAAATAAAGATCGCATATGAAATGTTATAAAATTTTCAACTTTGGAAAAAAACTTGCGAAAATGGACAATATCAAACCATTCAATCAAAGGGTCAAAATTTGGAATAATTATGACTCTTATAAAATGTGAAATAAGAGTCGGATAGTCTTAACATTTCACACATCCCCATATTTGTATTGGAGGGTATATTAAGTTTCTCATTCCGTTTATGACACCTCGAGATATACATTTTAGACCCCACAAAGTATATATTCGCCGTTCGCCTGTGGAAATCACGGTAGATTCCAAACGAAATGAAATCGGTTGATAAAATTTTACCCAAATGTATATATGTCTGCAAGACTTTTAGTATTGAAAATGGGCCATGTATGTCCACGTTTTGGTATAGCCCTTATATAATGGTACCTCCCTTTTTTCGGTATTTTGGTGATTTTAGTAGCATTATTCATCGGAATTGTTTCAAATGTGATATTTGAAGTTCGCAATGGATATTAGAGCCTATGACAGAAAATTGTCAATGCAGGTCCACGTTTTGGTATGGTACCTACCTTTATTCGGTATTTTGATGACTTTAGCTACATTATTCACTATCTTTTTTTTTGTGTTCGAGTTTGAATATTGTAATGGCTTATGACAAAAGTTACATATGCAGGTCTATGTCGTCGTATAGGTACGAATATAACAGCTACATGCATTATTTTTAAGATTTTAACGGATGTTATTGTTTTTGAGAATTGTCAAATTCGTTTCCAAAGGTGGAGGGTATTCAAAGTTCGGCCTGGCCGAACTTACAGCTTTTTTACTTGTTTCTTTTTTTTATTAACAAGAGATCTGGTGTGTAGGTGGGATATATCGGTATTCTTCTTCAGGTATCCTTGTCACAATGGGCCAACATTTTTAATAGCCATGAAGTTCGTAAAATGCGAAATAAGCAAGTGACTCTTATCAAACTTCATATATCAATAGCCATATTGCTACAGAAGATTTGACTTAAAGACGATTCACTCTTTCTGGCACCTCTTTCAAAAAGGGTTAACATTTTCAATAACCAAAACGCTTATAAAATGTAAAATAAGGATCCAATTCATTCTTCTCATTCTGATCAACATTCACACATCTCTATACCTCTACCAACACAAGATCTGTTGTAAGATGGTAGATACCAGACCACTCCTAGTATCGCCTTGACACAGGGGTGAGAATTTAAATAACAAAACGCTCATATAATACGAAATAAGACCCCGATTATCTTCAAATTTTACATATCCCAATATTTTTACCAATGAATGATACAAATCGGGATACTCCTTCTGGTACCTCCTCCACACATGTTTAATTTTTTATTTCTCAACCAGAGATTTGATGTGAAATAGAATATAAATTATGATGAATGTAGAACATATCGGTCACCGTCTGTTCTTTCCCAGAAGAGGTTAAAATTTTATTTAACATATATTCGCAAAAAATTAGAAATAATTGTTCGATTTTCTTTAAATTTTGTACATTCCCATATTTTTATCAGTATTAGAGTAAATTAATACATTATTATATCATATGTGGAACCTCACATATTTAAAATTTTACAAAAATTATCAACTATTTCATGTGATGGAAGTAGTTAATATAGTCCAAATCTGGCACGCTGTAATATTTATATCTGACTTAGGTCTGCTGCGAAATGGAAATAATTTGACACACTCCTTCAGTACCATCTGAACAAATGGTCGAGATTTAAATAATCGTAACGAAAGTCAAAATTTATTACAACAAACGGACATTGGCGAAGCGTATACGTTTGTTAGCAAAACCGGCTGATATTCTCTAACTTGTTTTGTTTCAATTCAAAACACCTTTTTAAAATAACTACATATACCGATAACCATTATTTGCCCAAATATATGCCACATTTATTTTTATCTTTTAATTGTATATATGTATGCACATTATTTTACCCTCGGGTAGTGCAGATATTAAATACTGCCGACTGGGCATTAACACCATCACTGTGCTGTTGCAATTATTCGGTGGATTAATTTACAATACATAGCTGCCTTTGCGTAATTTTTCCATTCTCTTCTATCGTAAATAATTTATTTTATGAATTTTTTCGGAACTTTATATTTTGACGACTCTACCGTGGTATTAACGTCTGGCTTAGCAATACAACGGCAGCAACTATGCAAAAAAACAGAGCTTCGGTTCGATGTTAAGTAAAAACATTGCAACCAGATGCTTAGTAAGTGTGGAAAACTTTTTTTTGCTGCTGCCCTTCAATTTAGCTACTTAAACGATGAACATATTTTGCATTTGTATGACATATTCATATAGACACGTGCATATATATGTACATATAACAATTAATTTTAAATTGAATTTAAATTATTTCCTGGTAATCCATCCACGCGAAAGTGTTGTATACAGTCCATACAATTCAATATTATGAATTTTTTTATGATTGAAATAAATAATCTTATTGTTTGTCTGCAAGAGGTAATGATTATAATCTAGTGTTATATATCGAAATAAAATTATTATATCGTCCAACCATAATTTACAGCTGAATACGCATTGGGTTACTTTCATCACCCCCCACCCCCCCACTTGCAAAATACAAAAATAACCTGCCCATTCATTTTGTTTCATATAGTCGAGCGTTCTTTTTTCCCGTACTCAAAAACAATTAACTCGGTTTGAGTCGTTTTTCTTTCGTGCAGGATATTTTTAATTGAAAATTCAGTTATTACCATTGTCATGGCAATTCCTGTTAATGGTGTGTACGCGTGGCCAAAATGAAACTGGGGCTGGAGAATTGTGTTCACGTGCATGTACATTTAAAAGAAATGTGGAGAGGCTTTTATATTAAAGATTTATAGTTTAATTTTCTCAAAGTAGAATTATTGACATCTTTGTCAGCATCGTAAGCCCTGCATTTCTTGTTGCCGTAAAACCGAAATATGCTTGTATGTATATGAACCGGGAAAAGGAAGATGGTAGGTCGGTGTGCATTTGTGCTGACGATTTTGTAACGTTTTACAGATGACAGAAACAGTGTGAGTCAAATAAATACAGACCTTTCGAAATTGAAATTTTCGTATGTTAAATTATCATAATATACAAAGAAAATAAATTAGATTTCTGAGCTACGAAAGTCATTACCAAATAATGTGTTTCATAACCAATTGTTCGAAGGGTTTTCTTAAGTTTCGCAATATATAGTATTAAACATGTATGAATGTTAAAGTTTTTGGGCGAATTTTATATGGGAGAAACACGATTTATTAATCAAATTAATTATAATTTCCCAGCAGATAAACCCATGCCAAATAATGACTTTCCTACCTTATTAAGTCACTAACCCATTACTTTTATGCAGACTTGTCACTGAAAGTAAGTAGCTTTCTTGTAGCCATTTAAAGAAAACAAATGATCAAAATATATCTCCTTTTCTTTAAAAACATTTGATTCGAGTTTGTAGTAAATTCTAAAGACTTTAAGTTGTTGGGAGTGAACGATCTTCTGATTTGTAATGAAATAAGCTGCTAAGTAGCATTACAGGTTGTCCTAAAAACTTTGTGACACATTGTAATGAGTTATTTCGCTCAATTATGGATGAGTTTTAACATGAAGGATAGACTGAGGTTATACTAGCCAAGCTACTGACGCAGCCTTAAATAGCTATTAATTAAGGAAATTGTAAATATACAAATATATATCAAATGTAAAAGCATTTCTTGTACTATTTCCCCGAAAATGATTTTGGGTAATCATTGGATAAAAAATACATCCGACATTAATTCAATATTTTGCCGCCTTTTTCGGGGTGGCCTTTGAAAACTTTGTTCAGTCAAATATAGCAATTTTATAAAATTATATCCTCATACATAAAATTAATATCTCTCAACCAAAATACTTACCACATATGCTGATATCAGATATGATTAGACAGATTCCAAACAGCCAGTTGAACCACTGATGCAGGAATTTCCTTTTTCCAATCATGGCTAAAATTTATTTTTTTTATTTAATTTCAAATCTGCAAAGGGAGAATTTTAATAAAGAAATCGTTAAATTTGTGGATATATTTTCAAGATGAAAAAAAGAAAACTGTGTGAAAAAACAGGTAAAGGATTTTATCATAATTATGTATTTTACAATATATATTATTTTGGTTCTCAGTATGTCCCAGTTAAAAAAGGAGCTCAATTTCAAAAAACTAGGAAAAATTCAATTCTATACCAGAGTCTTATAGTGTCAAATAAGCATTTACAACAATTGGTTTTATTTATTTTACATTTTTGTCACAAAATTTTTATATTGGGAAAAGAATTACACAACATGAATGAAATGTTGGGGATATTCCGCAAAATTGAAAATATGAATAAACAAACTCCATTATTTTTGTACTTCTTGTTCATGAGTCGGAATTTTGGAAATTTATATTGAATTTTTAATTCCAAATTAAGACTAAAAATTGAGGTGCGTTGTGAACTCGTTCATATCGGAAACTATTAATTTAGTTAAAGATGTACAACATACGTGGGTGATTTGATTTGTCTTTGTTAATATGAACTTTCGATTTTCTTTAATTTATTTTCATAAGATTGCACGTAATTTTCACGCACAAAAGCGATGACAGCGTGCGACATTTTTTTTCTGTTCGACTCTTATTTTTATAAATTCAAAAGTTGGTGCATTTCTTTTGCTACCGACTTTCGTATTCTGTTGAAATTTTTATGATGATGTTTAAACAACTTTTTTAATTATCTTTTCAGAAACATAACAATAATAATAACTACAAAAGTGAATCCATAAAAGAGAAGCATCAGAGGAAACGACCGGCAATGGTCGGGTTTTTTTTTTATGGCCAGTTGGTTCTGGTCTGAGAAACAAAACGTACTGCAGCGGACTAACATGAAGTGAGTGACGTAGCGAGGCATGTGCAACCCCATAAAGGATATACTATTGCCAACTGGCTTCGCATACACCTACGAATGTTTTCACATGCTTTCTCAATATTACTCTCAGCAGGAGATTGTCATTACAGAACATAATTCTTTATGCGTTATCAATATTGTGAAAATTGAACATTTTATTTATGACCAATAAGATTTACAATTTACCTGGGATTTTTTTAATAATGGAAGTTTTTTATGTAAATTTATTATTTCACTTCCTTTAATTGTTCGCAAGTTACTAAGCTAATCTACGTTTCTTAATTTCAGGAACTAGTGAGGGCCTTAACTTTGTTTTTTTTTAAATAAGAATATAAAACAGAATCAATATTACCATAATCTTAAGTATCTTAAAGTCAGATCCCAATGCTATATAATGAAATCATTTTTTTTTAAATTACATGCTATTTTATAATTATTATAAATACTAAAATCCTCAGAAAATGTTGTCACTTTTAATGCAAATTGAACATAGTCATATTAATTCTGCTCGACAGGTTACAACTTGAACTTTCTATCCATAAGATCCACACCCTTATTTTGGTTAAAAGGCGAGTTAAGTAATTTCGTAAGTCTTGAATAATTTTTAGGAAAATACTAGTTTTGTCATTTCATATGCAACATCTATATGATGATTGGTGTTGGTCGGTATTTTCAAGTTTTCAGCTGAAATTTTCAACAAATTTGGAAGGAAATTTTTGAAACAATAATTTACTCACAGAAAGAGAAAGCATATTCCGATTATGATCCAACTCTGCAAATCCTAATATTTCCATACGCGCTTCGTCAGTTGTGAAAATGAACAATATCGGTCCACTCCACCAAGTTCCTTCCTCACAATGGGTCACAATTTTTAATAATTATAACTCTATAAACATGTGATGTAACATCGCATCACAATATTTTTATAAAGTCAAGGTCTGGTGTGAAGAAAGAATATATGGGCCCACCTTTTCGGGTACCACAAAGGGTTATGATTTTGACCATACATTAAGCTCAAAAAACGCGAAGTTAAAATTCGATTCCATTCAGACTTGAGACATCTCAATATTTTTATCGACACAAGATCTGTTATAAAGATGGTAGAGATCTGACCATTCCTTCTGGTACCTCCCCCACATAGGGTTCAAGATTTGAAAAACCAAAAAAATAAGCATCCAACTCTCTTCAAATTTCACACATCAAAATATTTTTGCTAACAAAAGATCGGTTGTGCATATGATATATATCTGCAACTCCTTCTGGTACCTTACCCACAAGGGGTCAAAATACTTATATCTATCATAATTTGCGAAACAAAACTGCGATTCTTTACAACTTGCTACATCTAAAAAAATTATCCTAACCAGAAATCCGATATGAAATAGATTTTTATCGACATTTATGATTTCGTATAAAATTGGATATAAATTTTCGATTTACCTCAAATTTTGCAAATACCAATATTTTTATCTGTATCAGATGAAGTATGAAATTTAAATACTCCGGTCCGCTATATCTGTTACCTCACGCATATTTCCACATTTTCCAAAAATTTGCACATATCTCATATAAAGTATAGGAAGTTGTCCATATAGTCCATATCTGGCATGTTGTAATATTTATATCAACCATAGGTTAGATACGAATTGGTCAACTGCTTCGGAACCTCCCCCCACCATAAAGGGTTAACGGTTTGAATAATCATAACTCAATTCAAAATGTATTTAAATAATCGAACATTGACGGAGGGTATACGTCTGTCGGCAAAACAGGCTGATACTTTTTAAGTTGTTTTTAAAGGAATTTAATATAAAGTAGGAAGGCCTACCTTCCAATTGAGGAGATGAAAAAAAGAACACAAAACCTTATGAATGTCAAAGAATCAATACCACATGCTGGGACATTGTCAACATTTCTTGTGTGCTTTTTTTGTATATTCATCAAAATCTATGCCATCGCTACAATCTAACGAATTGCCAACAAACAATGAGAATTCCAAAAAACCAACAAGCCACGGTGGCTAACTGCAGTTTTTGTGAATCTCAAATGTTGGTTATATTGCCAAAAGCAGAACCCACTCGCACACATGCCAGAAATAAAGATTGCAATTGAAAGAACTCACGATTGTTCCTGTTTCCTTTATTTCCAATTTTTTTGTTTGTCGACATTCGTACTTAAACAACTGCATAACAAGACAAAATACAATGAAAATCATTGCGAAAAAAAGAAAATCACAAATTGGGAAAATAGAGAATTGAAAAGTGCGTGTGAGATCAACAAAGAGATGGAGTATTCATCAAACAATGCGGAAACCTTTGAATCATTACTTTAGACTTCCGTTTTAAGTGATTTGGAGTCGGATGTTGGTTTCCCATTTTTGTCGGTATTTTCTTCTTCTTCTCCTTCTTTTGGTATTTCCTTTGTTCAAATTACTAAAGTCAGATTTGTACTCCCTGGCTTTCCTGCTTTGTTCGGTCTTCTTGCACTTGATACTCAATCAATTTGAATTGCACTTGATGCCTCGAGAGATGACAATCATTTTAAAGTGAAACAAATTATGTTTTGCTGTGTGAGTGTTTGTGTTCTGTGCTACGTGTGTTCGTACGGAAAGCAAAAGCAAAAAAAAAAGGACAAAAAGAAGCGTGTAGATGATACTTTGGATTTTCAAGGCCTTAGGCCACTGTCATTGTATTGTCTTACTGGAGTATTACTTGTATTTTTTGTTTTTCCTATTGCTGTATCGTAAAGCCTATCATCCATTTTATTCGATAGACTCACAGAGCGGGCGTGACGTCATCTGTCATTTTTTATTAACATAATGCGTATGTGTGTGTACTTATAGGATCGGTGAGATAAAGTACAGTGATGCAAAAGAATAATATATATTGGTATGCATATTTGTTATTATCCAAAGTACCCTACATGATTGAAACCACTTTCATAAAATCGGACATAGAGGAGCAGTTAGTAAGTGGTAAAAATCTAAACTAAAAGTGTTCCCCATGTATTGAAGACACCTATTTTCTAGCCTATTTCTGAGTGTTTCGGTAAAAGAAACATGTTTCCACTGTTTGCAGTGGCGTAATGATTTCGTCATTAACATTTCAAACGCCACGTCATCCGACAAGTCATTTTTCTTTCTGTGCACATCTGCTGTGTCACTCCATGTCTGGTGACTGAATATTTCGGCATTTTGCCTCCAACTCACTCCATACCCATTACGAATATCTCTTTATTGTTTCCAGATTTTGTTTTTTTTTTTACTTGTCTATCTTCTCGAAAATGTTTCACATTTGGAGGATGTTTACGTCTTATCTTTGAATAAGTAAGTGTTTATTGATTAAAGGACCCGGATACGCCTCCAACGACTATGCCTACGACGGGCATGTCACACAACGAAGACAACAGACAACACATGTGTATTTCTGTGTATTTGCTAGGCAATAAAAACACACTTAAAAACATTTCAAATGTTGTAATTTGGTTTTATTTATTTCTTTCTTTCATTCGCTCATTCATTCATTTGGCATCGTGAACGGATATTTAAATGGATTTTTGATTAAGTTCCATTTATATACTGGCAAACTGGGCTGGCTTGTTTATCAATCATAAGAGGGCCAAATGGAAAGTAAATATCATTTGGAGAGTTCTTGGTGAAGGGCGTCGTCGCACTCATTTGTCCGTGTGGAGAAGATGAACATATCCTTTTGGCTGTCAATGTTGGCCATAACACCGACCACAGATAACAACATTTAATTGAGATGATCTCAGACACAACAGGTCACAAAGTACTGGGGGAGGAATTAGTGGGTGCTAACGGAAGCCTCAAAGCAGGCCTCATAATTACACGCAAGGGAAGATTAATTGTGTCAAGGTTTTATTTTAATGTGACCTTACTGTTTAGTTAAGCATGAAGTGGAAGATGCCCTTCGAAAACTGTTAAACAACTACTTTTATATATTATAAATTAATAAATCAAATTTCCACAGCTTAATTTATTTATGAACTTATATAGAAAATCGTTAATTCAACATAGGATAATTGAGTGAAATGCATTACTTTGTAACTGTAGTTGTAAGTTCTCAACTTTTTTGGAACA